GGATGAGGCGCTGTGGCCAGACCGCAACAGAAGAGAGGATGCAGCGTAGTTTTCTTTTTTACTGTAACTGTATACAGTAAATTTTTCTGTTGGATGTAGTTTATGTGTGCAACTTTGTGTTGGTTGGGAATGAGATAAACATTGTGTACAATGTTTTGTGGGAAAAATAAAATAATTTCTACCATGTATTTGTGAGTTCAGAGTGTAAAAACAATATTCGGAAATAACAACACATGCGTGTATATACTGTCTGTAGTACATGGAACCAAAAAGGCTTTAGTCATTATAATGAATGGAGAAGATGTGTTTTCCATTCATCATAGTGTTTAACATTGAGCGCATAAGTGTTCTGCTGGTTCTTATAAATGTCTATTCATATGATGGTTTGTGTGTGTCATTTGACAACAAAATCACATTTTGAGGAGAAAGTACATGGTTTTGAATGTGAAGTAGAATTTTGCAGGTTAAGTGAGGGGTTTTGCCCATTGTGTGTACATTTTTGGATTTGTGTGTAGAGATCTGAGAATGAGGCATGCTTTCAGGAAATGTGTGTAAACAATTGAGGAAAAACTGTAAGGTTTGGAACATAATGTGGTCAAGGAGCAAACTGCTTAGATCATTTTGTCTAATGATTTGGGTCTTTATGGAGCTGAACTCCCATGATATTAAAATGTATTTAATAACACTTTACAATAAGGGTCCCTTTATTAATGTTACTCGGTGCATTATCAAATATTAATAAACAAAAGGTCTCTTTATTAATGCTACAGTTAACTATTAAGTTTCCTTAGGATTAGGACCAAGGACAGGGGGTGTGTGGCTGCATAGCAGCACATTAATAATATGGTTAAGCAGTTTTAATACTTTATTTAATAATTTAATGCTTAATAATGCACTAACTGTCATGTTCTGTGTCCCCTTGGTCCCCAGCCCCCTCCTGTTTGTCCTCTGTGTTCTCATGTTCCTCCTAGTGTTTTCCAGCTTCTCAGGACTCTCCAGTCTCCCCTCTGTAGTTTTAGTTTCTATAGGTTCAGATTTTAATTTGATTTGTTCCCCTTAATGTTTGTGTCCTTCCCCACTTGTTAATTAGTCTTCCTTACTCCTCTTGTCATTAGTTGTTTATCTTGGCCCTTAGTTTCTAGGTTTAGTTATGTAGTGTTTTTATAGGTTATGTAATCTTCCCCTCTGCTTGGTTTTCCCTTCCCATGTAGTTTATTGATTTCACCTGTCACCTGTTCCCCTGATTGCTTTCCACTGTGTTAAAAGCCTGGCTTGTCCTTCAGTGTTTGTTGGGTCATTGTCGTATGTGTCTGCTCGTTCCCCTCTCGAGTTTTCCCGAGTCTGTGCTCATGTGTGAGCTTTTGTTTGTTTTGGAATTTTCAGTGAGTTTTTGAGTTAGTCTTATTATTTGTGCTTTAGATTTCGGCACATCCTCTTTTAATAAAGGGATAATTTTCTTTAAACTACTCCTGCCTTGAGTAGTTCTGGGAATTTCTGCATCTTGGGTCCAACCTCCTACACTCAACGTGACACTAATGTTAATAAAGGGACCCTCATTGTAAAGTGTTGCCATGTTGTCATGGATTTTATCAATAAGTTTATCAATAACCGATGTCTTGTAGTGAAGAGAGAAGGAGACAATGAACAAGTCAGTTACAACTGTGGCAAGATGCTCGAAGCATAATGCACTGAACATGGTCACAGAGTTTATTTATGGAGAGGGAGAGATTGTGTGTGTGTGTGTGTGTGTGTGTGTGTGTGTGTGTGTGTGTGTGTGTGTGTGTGTGTGTGTGTGTGTGTGTGTGTGTGTGTGTGTGTGTGTGTGTGTGTGTGTGTGCTCTGTCTTCTCAATCCCAAGTGGTTCATGGCGGATGGCTCCAGGATTCTTTGCAGGTTTCTTCCTGTTACATTAAATTAGTCTCCGAGATTAAAGTAAGGAACCTTGGTGTCTTCGACAAGGACATGTCATTCAAATCTCACGTTAAACAGGTTTGTAGGATTTCCTTTTTTCACCTTTGGAATATTGCTAAGATTAGATGCATCCTTTCCAGGAGTGATGCTGAAAAACTAGTTCATGCATTTATTACATCAAGACTGGGTTACTGTAATTCATTACTCTCAGGAAGTCCACAGAATGTAGTTAAAAGTATTCAGCTTGTCCAAAATGCTGCAGCTAGAGTTCTGATGAGAATTAAAAAGAGAGATCATATCTCTCCTGTGTTAGCTTCCCTACATTGGCTGCCTGTTAAATTCAGAATAGATTTTAAGATCCTCCATCTCACATATAAAGCTCCATCATACATCAGTGACCTGAATGTTCCATACATTCCTAACTGAGCTCTTTGCTTTCCGACTGCAGGTTTACTGGTGATTCCAAGAATATCTAAAAATAGGATGGGAGGCAGATCTTTTAGCCATCAGGCTCCTCTCCTGTGGAACCAGCTCCCGGCTTTAGTCCGTAAGGCAGACACCTTGTCTACTTTTAAGACTAGACTTAAAACATTTTTATTTGATCAGGCCTAGTTAATATCAATGGAAACTTCAGGGTTAAACATGGGCTAAAAAAGATGTGAAGTCCTTTGCATTTGCAAAATACTGTGTAAAAGGAATAACCAAAGGGAAACAGCCAAAAATGTGATAACAATTTATATTTTGTGTCTCCATGTTTCTGCCCTTCCCCTGAACTTCAACTGTGAGTCTGGGCTGATTCTGTCCACCATCTCTCAGGCTTTTGTGGTGATCCATCAGATCAGAAAAGCTCCACAGGATGACGTATTAAATAGGGTGACCATACGTCCTCTTTCCCTGGACATGTCCACTTTTCACTCTCTGTCCGGGACGTCCGGCAGGGTTTACTACATGGAATAAAGTGTCCTGTTTTTCATCCAGGAGCAGGGATCGACTTTCAGGGAAAGATCCAGTTTCTACCTTTATTACAATATTTATGGACTCTCAGCGTAGCGGGATTCTGTTGAGCAGAGAGGACGCAGAGTGCTGATCGTTGGTGCGCGCGCTGCGTCCGGCCCACGATACATTCACAAAGTGGCGCAACAAAACTTTATTATTAACACATGATCGTTCGTATCTGTTTAAATCCTCTGGTATTCTGTCTTTTAATCGTTTCTGACGCACTCCACTCATCGTGTGCTGTGGTGATTTCACCTCACTGACGCAGCATCCAAACGCGCACTACGCTTTGCGGTCAGGAGATCCCTTTGATCTGCTTAGTTCAAAAGTAACTGATGAGGTGAAAAAGTAAAAATCCAGGCAGCAGTTTTTCTGGAGAGTTTAAAGGAAGATCGAAGATGAGAGACAGACAGAACAGGAAATAGTTCAATAAAAACAAGAAAACAAAGCAAAGTGCTGAAAAGTAAAATGTAGGTAGATTTATCTCCACTACACGTTTTTACATGTATAAAACAATAAGTTACACACATGTAATATTTATACATCTGATACAATTCAGATCACGTTCAAAACTTAGACAAACCCAGGGCCGTTTCAAGGCATTTTGGGGGGGCGAGGGCAAAACAGCACACCCCTCACCCCTATAACTGGGCTCCCCAGAAGTTATACAGTGTTTGTAAAAGCATCTCAGACATCACTGACAGCTTCTAATATTGTCAGACGAAAAACAAAATTGTCGGACACGCTGTCATCTGTTTCTTTTCTAAACTCACAAACATCTGTCAGTAACAAAAGTATCTGAAAGCCTCTATTTGTGGATTCTCTGAAAGTTTCCGTGGAGTCCATGACAAACTGTTTTATCATTGATCCTATCGTCTAATCTCACAGCTGAAACAAGCAGCTGAAAAGTTCTTTTACATCTTTACCTGAACAAACTAACTAATTGTGTCAGATTTATGTTTGTAAGTTCTGTTCCATCTGACTGGTGTTCTACTGATTGTTGTTGCCTGTAAATTACTGGATAATCCTTCAGGCTTGAGTTGAACTCAAGTCTAACAACACTTCTGAAAAGAAAAGCATAACATTAATATTTGGTCTCTTGGTAAAGTCTGAGGCATCTGTTTAAAGGCACTCATGTGAAGACGTAGCTGCAGGGTTTGAACGTTCACCCAAACTCTGGACAGGAAAGGAAGAAAGTCATTTCCCAGTTACTTTAGTCTTTCTCACATTTGTTTTGTTTTATTTTCACTTCTCCATAAAAAACACTTTATTTTCTCCTGAGCAACATCTGATAATAATCTCATCTGATTATTGTTCTGCCCTGTGTGCTGTCATCATTCAGACAAGTTTCTGATGATGTCATCCTTAGTTCTTCTGACCAAAGCAAACGTACAAGCCCCTTGCTTCCTTGTACAGAAAAAGGGCAGGAAGTCAACACTCGGAAAGAACACAGCTGATTAAAACTAAAGATTTCTCGTTACCTGAGAGAACAAAAATGTTTGAATAGGCTCCACACACCAGAATGTTGTAACAATAGATACATCACTGCACGGATTCTCCTCTTCGATTCTGTCTTACTGGAAATATGTGACATGACTCCAGCTGGCATAAGAGCGGGCGTTTCCAGAGGATGCCGGCGAGTATAAAATCTGAGCCTCGTGTGTTTGAGTCCAGACTCAGAACACGAGAAAAGACTGAGCAGACAGGTACGGACAGAACCAGCTGTTTTCTGCTGTCACTGTAGCCTAGAAGAAAAGTTTAGATTTGCACCTGAAAATACTCATTTCTATAGTTTTATCATGTTTTCTTTTTAAAAGGAACAACAGTTTTTATTTTGTGCATGTGTTATAATTAAATGACAGGAAAGATTTAAAACAATTTAGGAACTTTTCCGTTATAATTAAATTCAGGGAGGTAGTGAGTGTTTTATTGGTCTTTTCTCAAAAACCAGTTGGGAAAAATGGGCATGGCAGGATTTATTGTTACATTTATGAGAGAAAGACTGAATGAATGTTTCCAAAACTAATCTTTTCTTTGTCTGATTAGTTATCTAAACCGTTCAGAGGCTTCAGCAGTGAGACGCTCTAACAAAGATGGCTGAACTCCAGCAGAGCTACAACCAGCAGGGTTTCCTGTCTCCTCTGTCCGTGCTGAATGAGATGGAGCTGAGGGAAGCCAGAGACGCCTTTGCTAAGCTGGAGGATGAATTTGGTGAGGAGGATGTACAAATCAGACATGCTGCAACGAATTCCACATGCTGCAAATATTCAGGATTTATTTAGTACATTTTGTTCTGTCTGATCCATTTGTCCCAAACTGATTTTCTAACAAAACTGTCTATGCAGGTAAAGAGTACACTCAGTACAGCCTCCACAAAGTTCACCTCCAGTATCCCTGGGTGATGAGCCTGACCAAACATCCCTGTATCCTGCAAGTGATCCAAGCTGTCCTGGGCCCAGACGTCCTCCTGCTGGACTCTCGTTTCATCTGTAAATACCCGATTCTCAAACCAGCCAACATCCTGGAGAATGAAGGAAGTCCGACCAAGTCTGATGGGGAGAACGGTCTTCCTTACGTCGCCTGGCATCAGGATATGAGGTCCCGGTGACTCCAGTGAAAAAATAAATGTAAAAAGTGTCTTCACTGATTCTCAGTGTAAGCTTTTGGTTTTACAGGTATTGGGGAATTGCTGGTGGTCCGGTCCTCTCTGTGTGGCTCGCTCTTGATGACTCACAGAAGGAAAACGGAGCCCTTCAGGTTATTCCAGGTACTTCGTCTGAAGCTATAGCTTAACCCACAGTCCTAGTTAGCGCTTTGTCTCATGATCAGCTTTTTCACTGTAGGAAGCCACTGCTCTGGCATGCTACCCCATCGCCAAGCCACCCGCTCTGGAAACATGCTGTCGGTCAACCAGGAGATCCCAGAGGAGCTGGTTCAGGTGGAGGAGACTGTGTTCTGTCCTCTGAAAGCTGGACAGATGTCTGTGAGTTGTTTTTGCTGTAATCTAAAATAGTTCTAAAGACAATTACAACTTGATTCGTAATGACTGTTTTCCCACAGATTCATGATGGATTTCTTGTCCATGCAAGTGATCCCAACACGTCCCGGAGGAGGCGCTGTGGCTTTGTGATCCGTTATGTTCCCACCTGTGCAAACCCCATTCAGGTGAGACTAATCTCTTCAGGGTGTTTTAGAACGTCTGACCTTCTTTATATAATCATGTTTCTGATTGGTTCTAGTGCTAGGATCCTGATCGACCCAGGAAGTTTCATGCAACAATGTTGGCTTGTGGAGAAGACCAGTTCAATCATTTCTCCAACAAAAGCTCATGAAGGATCAACCATGTGGCTGGCAGCAGTCGTTCATCAAAGTCTTTTCTGTGTTTATCACCATCTCATTGATTTATGTTACTAACTATGATGATGAACTGAATTGTCTCTGAAACATATAAACAACCCTGCTGTTTTATGTGGTTGAAAAAGTAGCTTTGTTACAAACATAAAAGCACTTTCTTACATTTATAGTGGATCTTGTTTCATAACGTAAATAAGCCGTGAACATACTTAGATGTGGAAAGTAAAATGTAACGTTTTCCAGGGGATTAGGAGGCATTACATTCATGTGTTCAAGTAAATTATAATTTCTTTGTTAACCTCTGTATTTATTCATGACTGCTGGTGTTTTACCATGAGCACACAGAGCCTAGTGAAACACATATACTTTATATTAGATGATCTCAGTGACATTTAAAAGCTGTTTAATGTACTTAAAATAGTATTTGTTTATGTATCTGTCTTTAATTCAATAAAAAATACATGTATGTATAAAAAAGTACTCATTATGTCATAAAAAGCCAACAACTGAAACTAAATAAAATTTAAAAAGTCTTCATTTGAAATGGACTGAACTTACCTGTTATTTGAAGGTGTATCTAAACTTTACAGAAAGTTAAATCAATTTTACAAAATACATTATATTAATATATTTTATTTATTGTATAATTTTTTTATTATTACTTTTGTAAATGTGATCTAATTTTAACTGAAAATAAAAGCTGTTTTAAATGTGGTGGCGTACCCTTCCAGGCTGTTTAACTATGAAACTTACAAATGACTCACTGACCAGTTTAATGTGAAAAATGTTCAGAGCTATTTTCTGTCCTTACTTTGCCCAGTTCAGAGTCACGGAGCTCATACCAGTATTAACCAGGAGAGAGACTGATAACACCTGAACAACAGGATAACAGAGCTGACACAGAGACATGATCATAGATTAAATTAGACTCCTAATTACTCTAAAATAGATGTTTTGGGATTGCAGGGAGGGAACTGAAAAAAAACATAGATGCAAAAATATGTTTACTGGAAAGTTCCCAGCAGAGATTTGAGCAGCTTCTTGTATCACACTGCCCCATCATAACCATTGTTCTGTTACAGTAATGGATGTTAATGTTGTTGCCTGTCAGTGTGTGTGTGTGTGTGTGTGTGCGTGTGTGTGTGTGTGTGTGTGTGTGTGTGTGTGTGTGTGTGTGTGTGTGTGTGTGTGTGTGTGTCGAGTCTGACGCAGTGGTGGAAAGTTGTGTGGTTGTGCCATACAGGTGTAAAGGTACAGAAGCAGGTAAAGAGGAAGGGAAAGTACAGATACAGGTTAATAAAGAAGAAAGAACTAAAAAGAAGAGGTGATGGGGTGTAAGGTGGTGATGAACAGGTGATCTTATCATCTAGAAAACGGATTTAGCAGCTGTTTAATCCTGACGTGATCAAACCCAGTGAATCCTGATAAGAATAATAAATGTCTGACCTGATGTTGGGCTAATACAGCCAGTCAGTCACTCCTCGCTCCTTGTAAAGCTTATTGTCCACATAAAGCTTATCCACCGAGATGACAGCCCTCTTCCCATCCTGGATAAACTTTTTACGCAGCGGAAAGAGGACTCTGCGCCGATCCAGAATTTCCTTCGGGACCTGATCATTCATGGTGAAATCTTTCCCTTTGAGCTCTCTTCCGTGACTTTTAACAAGCTCCTTCTGCTTAAAATGTTCAACTTTAGCCACGATGGGACGAGGTCTTGTGCTGTCCACTCGTCTAGCTCCAAGGCGATGTACCCGGTGAAATGTGATCTTTTGCACCGTTTCTTCGGGTATCTTCATTTCGGTCTGGAGAAAGTTCTTGATTGTATGCTCGCAGTTCTCCGCCCCACCCGTCTGCTCCGGCAGACCTGCGAACACCAGATTATCCCTCGTGCTACGGGCCTGAAGGTCCAAAACCATCTCCTTCAGAGTTTTGTTGTCCTGGGTTATCCGCGTCATTCCCTCTTCCAGGGAAGAAACGGACTCCCGCAGAGACGCGTTCTCAGCAGCGAGCCGCTCAACCTGTTCCTGACTGAACTCCAGAGATGTTCGGAGGTTCTGAAACTCCTGGTGAAGAACCTCGAGCAGATGAAGTCGCCCCTCAAATCCCAGAAGCCGTTTATCTATAGAATCTAATAATTCTAATACGTCCTTCCGGGGAGATGAGGCCTCAGGCGAGTCCTGAGGACGGCTCCTCTTGGTCCCAGCAGGTGTTTCAGCCTCAGCTGCTGATTTCTTCGGACCCATGACGAATAACTCAAAAACTTTGTCAATATAATTTAGTAAACTTTCTGAATTTTCTTCACTTACCTCCAGATTGAGTGAGTTATACTTACCAGATTATTTTTTGCGTTGTCAGTAAATAAATTAGGCGAAAATGTGTCTTAATTGTTTGTGGATGTTTGTTAACGAGCTGCTGAATTGGCCGGTTCGAGAGTCAGCTAGAAACTGAATTAATTGGGAAGTAATTCTTGTTTTAATAAACCACAATGTTATGAGTTTTGGTCAAGTTTGGCAAATCAGAATTTTGCTAATGTAAATATTACATAAACATATTGTTTTTGATTTTTCAAACATTTACTGTGATTACAACAGAAAATGTGTTTTTCAGATTACAGTACTTTTCTGTTGTGTATTTACACCATTTTTATGTAAATTTCATGGTCATTTTTTACTGTGCAGTGATGTATGATGTGCCACCACTTATACAAATATGATAAAGTTTTAATGACTCCCTGAGATTTCTGGCTGGCCCTGTTCTCAATCACAGCTCTTTTACTGCTACTTCAGAAATCCTACGGTTTTCAGTAAACACTTTCCCACAAGTACCGGTGTCATTCGGAAACAAGCTGCAGAAAAATAAAACTGGTTCTCTTTCAGTAGATCTATGGAACTGACAAAGACTTTCCTCCTCTTGGAAGCCATTAGCTAACACACGTGTGAAACACTTTTCTCATTCTGTTTGGTCTTTGACTGAAACTTTGAGAGGATCTATAATTACAGGAGCATTTCCATTTACAAGATTTGTTTTACGCCAGCCTCCAACAGGAAGTTGCTAACAAATATCCCTCAGCCTGGAAACGCTTTTCCTTGTTAAGTTACCAGTTGCAATAACAGATTAAATATTAAGTAGTTAAAAGTGTTTTAGGTGAAACTGTCCTGCAGTCTTTCTACTGAATGAGTAAAGAAGAAGAAAAGATCTTTTCTATAGCGCCTCTCAAGATAAAAATCACGAGGCGCTTCGAAAAACAAAAAAATGTAAAATATAAAAAGAATTTAGAAAATTATTAAAGGTATATTTAAAATGAGCAAATAATAGACAATTTTGATTAAAAAGTGTAAAGACAGAGAGAGAGAGAGTAAAAAAGAAAGAGGGAAATCAGTGGATACTGATGAAGGTGGAATAGGTAGAAAGAGCAGAACAAGGAGAGAGTGGTGAAGGTCACACCAAAACCAGCCTGAACAGGTGAGTTTTCAGTTGCTTTTTCAAGGAGACCACTGAGTCCACTGATCTCAAGCTCAAGGGGAGAGAGTTCCAGAGTCTGGGGACCACAGCAGCAAATTATCTGTCACCTTTGGTCTTTAGCTTGTTGCACTGCACAACCAGTAGGCTTTGATCACTGGACCTCAGGGACCTGCTGGGGGTGTAGGGACTGAGAAGATCACCAATGTAAGATGGTGCGTGTCCATGTAAGGCCCTATAGACCAGAACCAGGATCTTGAAATGAACCCTGAAGTTGACTGGTAGCTGGTGATGCTGGAGGAGAAGCGGGGTGATGTGGGTGTGCTTGGAGGACATGGTCAGAAGCCGAGCACAGGCATTCTGAACCACCTGTAGACGGTTCAGGGAGGTTCTGCTCAGACACGTGAAAAGAGAGTTGCCGTAGTCTAAGCGTGAGGAGATGAAGGTGTGGATAACAGTCTCAAGTTCAGAGCGGGACAGAATGGGACTCAGCTTAGCACTGTTCCTGAGATGGAAGAAGGAAGAGCGAACAAGAGAACTGACATGAGAAGCATAGTTAAAATAACCCTTTTGTCTTTTCCGTGTGACAGCGAAGGTTTTCTTTAAACAAACAGACTCCAGCAACAGGTAATGTTCAGTATTTGTTCAAAACTCTGCAACATGTGGAAATGTTCCCTTCAACTTTAAAATTATAAGAAGCTTCCAGGGACTTTTATTTATAATTTTTGAATACATCAAGAAATGCCTAATTAATAGAAAAACACAATCAGTTCACACATTGCCTATTCAGATTACTAATACATTCTTACATAACAGTTTTGCTGCATAGGCAAGTTTTTTAAATGAAGTCTAACCCAATCAGTGTCTTATTAAAAAATGTTTATCATCTTTCAATATGGAGTCTCGTTTCACCAATTCCTCCCAGTGGTTGGAAAGTCCTACGGATACAGGATGTTTTTCACATCTGCTGTGAAGTGACTCAGAAGAACAAGGGACAATGCTGTCATAGAAATCTTTGTCAAGTCAACCACCCCCTCAGAAAGCCGATTCAACTCATTCAACAATACAAGAGATGTCTGAGATATGGTTGAGACGACCCAGCAACACGAGGCCAGAAGAACAAACAACCTAAAACTAGAAATTCCACATTTTCCCCACAAGGAATTTTCACAGACCATTATGTCTCTTTTCAAACAGCTGTTCCTTATCTAGACTATGGTACCTGAAGAAAGTACAGGCATCAGTTACAAGTGAGTAATTTCCTGTATCGGCTGATAATGTATACTACAAATATATTTAATTGTTTGTACAGAATATTGTAAATGTGAATGTTAAAGTGGATGAATGGATGGATGGATGTCTGTTAGGGACAATAATAGTCATGGCATCGAAGAGAGAGAGAAGTCTTCTAAGAAACAAGAGAGATTAAACAGCCTATTCCAACTGGGTCACCTGAGAAGCGAGCTTTGGTAATCAGGCGAACTCTAGTCGAGTAGATGGTGGTAGATGGTGGTGGTGGGGGGTAGGTCGGGTTTTCACAGCATCTGTCTGCATTCCTTCGTGGGGGGTTTGTTGTTGGCACCACAAGGCTGCCATGGCGTCAGATTCGGATAACAAGACTTTGTTTGGGTCAGGCTGAGATAATTTTCCCCTCTGCCTTCAGTCTGTAACTGATCATTCAAGTCCTCCAGTGAAGCCAATTTAGGTTTTAAACATCTCCACACCGTCCAGTGACCC